AAATATCTCAACAATATCTTTTTGAATAGCAGCCCTGCCACCCCAAGTGCCATTATCAATCATCTCATTCATTTTTTTTGATGCAGTTAAAAATAGCCAAGTATCTTTTATAATGAAAATACAAGTCAGTATTACTGTGATCAATAAGATCTGAATTAACATCAAAATGTATCATGAGCTTCTGGCATTCAGGATATAGTTCATCAAATGGAGAGACAGGCTGTACTTGAGTAGATATATTTTGAGAGTCAAAGAGAGCAGTAGAGTCAGAGCCAGAGCCAGAGCCAGAGAGAGTTAAAAAGTGGGAATATATAGCAAATGAAGTCTTGGAAAAATTGTAGGAGCTCTGTTATAAAATTATTAAAAATCATTCAAAACTGAAATATGAATAAAACATACACAAAAAATATGAAGAGAATATTGATTATCCTTGTAAATCCATGTAAATTCTTCATTTCCACTTTTGGCAGCCTCAAAGTTGCCCAAGAGCCTCCAAATAGTAGAAATATCATCATCAATGATATAAATCCAAACATTTGCATCTTTTAAAATCATTAAAGATAATTTGAAATTTAATAAAAGAATATTATCACATACTTGAAATGGGATTATATTTAGCTGCTAAACTTTCAAGGACTGGCCCAATGAACTTCTCCAAGTTTATTTTAACAACAGTCATGGCATTCATTTGCTGATAGATAAGTTGGCCAGGATTCAATTCAGAAACATACAGATAAACCATTCCTTTAAGGAGGGCCACATAAGTTGAATCCATTGAAATGTCATTCCAATCAGCATGATTGTAAACATTTCCTTGAGCATGTCCACATAGAATCCCACCTAATAATGCCTTGATAAGCACACATACTTCTGTCAAAAAAAAGATTATTATATACCTGTAACATGTGAGGCTCCCTGAAGATTGTGATTTGGACTTTGAGGAGGAGATTTCATCATAGTATCCTCTATTTTAATAGTAAGAATAATAACTTCTAAAAATAACATATTTACTTACTATTTGATTGTTCTTTCTGTTTATTGACTGGAGATTTCATAATTGTATCCACTATTTTAATAGTAAGAGTTATAAATTCCAGAAATATATATAAAGCTCACTATTAGAAGATTGTTCTTTTGTTTATTGACTGGAGATTCCATAATAGCATCCTCTATTTTAATAATAAGGCCTATAAATACCAGCCATAATATTTATTACTTACTGTTTGAAGGTTTTTCTTTCTGGTTGTTGACTGGACTTCCACTTGGAGTTTTATCCACAGAATTATCTATAATAATATTTGAGTATGTTTAAGTTGGGATATTTAGACTACTTACCAGATGTATTAGCTGTTGCTAATATATATCCTATAAATATAATTGACAAAATAAATTAAATCTAAAACATACTTACCAATATCTTGAATGTCTGAAGCAGTATTATTGATAGAATTCTGGGTGCTGGCAGTGATGCCCTTGATGCTGGTGAACTCATTGTTATCATCAGCATGTTCAGCATCACCACAGCTACTGCTGCTGTCCTTCTTGCTATCTACATCACTGCAGCTGTCACTGTCTATGGTATGTAGGTCAGAGCAATGCTGGCGTGAGGTGACAGTAGTGGCAGCAGTAGATGTAGCAAGAAGGCTGGTATTGACTGAGTGAATATGTTTTGGAGGGGCAATAGTGGTCCCCTCACTAACAAGGAATTGCTCAGTCCTGCTTATATCAGCTTGACAATAATAAAGAAATGAATGAATTTATAAGGCTTACTTAGTCAGCTTGGTTGGCTCTGGAGCACTGGCATCCTCTTCTGCTCTTTGAGCAGATGTTTTCCTGTAATATAATAAATCAAGTAAATAAAACAGTGGTAATAATCACTCACTTAATTTTCCCCTTGCCCCTTCCCTTAGGCTTTTCCTTTTCCTTCTCCTTCTCTTGCAGCTCCTCATCTACCTCCTCTGCTACCTGCATCTTCCTCCCTCTCTTCTGAAGTGGTTGAAACATGGTGTCAGTGGTAGAATCAGCACATTTTTGAGTATTGTAGGCCTTGGAAGAGGCCTTGGATGCAGTATCAGCAGTGCTATGAGTTACTTGAGGTGCTATAGAGCTGTGGGTGAGTTCTGATTTTGGTTGATTGGTGTGGATTAATGTGGATCAGTGTAGATCAGTGTAGATCAGTGTGGATCAGTGTCAATGGTGGTGGTAAGACGACAAGCCATAGATTGATTCTACAATCACATGTACTTACATAATACAATCCTTACTAAATATATTTATTTTACAACTATGTATATTATTCTACACCAGTAATATATATAATTTACATTGAAGTGGTGGTACTGTAGATGGAGGAGACAATACCATTGATGGAGGAGGTGGTGGTGGATGAAGGAGGTGGTACCATGCATAGTTGAGGTGGTATCATGCATGGTGGTGGTCCATGCATGGTTGAGACAGTACTGTGCTGGTGGTACAGTTGATGGAGGAGGCACCATTGATGGAGGCCATACTGTTGATGGAGGAGGCCATACTGTTGATAGGAGGCATCATCAATGGTGGACAGTACCATCAAAGGAGGAGGTGCCATCAATAGATGAGGCCAAACTGTTGATGGAGGAGGTGCTGTTGATGGAGGAGGCTGAACCATTGATGGAGGAGGTGCCATTGATGGAGGAGGCTGCACCATTGATGGAGGAGGCCAAACTGTTGATGGTGGTGGTGCAGGAGGTCATACTGTCAATGGAGGAGGCCACACCATTGATGGTGGTGGTGCAGGAGGCTGTACCATCAATAGAGGTGGTGCTGTCAATAGAGGTGGTACTGTTGATGGAGGAGGTGTGGTTGATGATGGGGGCAGCTAGCACTAGTAGTGTGGGTGAGCACAAGTAATAGAGTATGTGGAAGGGCTGACGTACCTAACAGGTCCCCCCTAAGGAGGTATTGACGATGGTGGAGGTACCATTGATGGTAGTGGCAGTGAGTGCTAGTATTGTGGGTAAGCCCAAGCAATAAAGTGGGTGGGAGGGCTGACATACCTGATGGGTCTTCCCTACACAGGTCTCCTGGTGCCCCTCAACTCTTCATTGTTGCCATGCTTGTTGATGGTGGTGGTGGTAGTGCACAGAGGAGGTGGAGGAGGAAGAGTGAGATGTGGCAGTGACAGAGGTGATGGTTGAAAAGACAAGTGTTGTGCTGGCAGCATCAACAATGTTACATGTGATACAAATACATAATAACAAACATAAACTTACAACACGTCTATCAGCATATAGAGATAACTAAAGCATAGAACAAATAAAATAGACTCTATTTACTTGATAAGCCTCTATGGCCTAGTGGTTAATTGTGCTCATTATTCAAAAATTAATGATGAGTCTCAGGTTCAATCCTTGCTGATTGCATTTATTTTTAAGTAAATCAATTAGCAGCTCAGATTCTGAGCAGATTCCAAGCAGCAAAAATCTGAGGATTCCGAACAGATTTTCTTCAGTCCAAGCAGATTCTGCTTGGACTGACCTTGAACTAAAAGCTCAAAATGTATACAATTCATTACAAAAGCTGATACTATTAATCCTAGCTCAGTCTGAACAGATTCTGAACAGATTCTGAACAGAGTCTGAGCAATCCAATTGGAATCCAATCAGATCACCTGGAGGAGTGTAAAGACCTCCTCTGACTGAACACAAACCCATGACTGCTAACTGGCACCTCAGATTCTGGCTTGCCTCTGGTTGACCTTCTGATGTGCAACTGCCAAACACAAGAAGATCCTCATCATCCTGCCAACCTACAGGATTTACAACATCTGCACAAAGGCAAACAATGTGGGTGTAGTTAATGTCTCCCTTAAGTTCTCAGGCAATGGAGCCTCAGGCCCTACAGGCAAGAAGGATGATTAACCTGTGCATCAATGATGTATGTGTATTGCCACTCTCCCCTTGTATAATCCTAACCACTTCACTTCATTTGCACAGTGAATACAGCCATTGACACTGATGTTTCCATAAGACTGATCTTCCTCTGCTCAACATGCAATGCTACTGGAACACACAGTCCTCTCTCTTCCACCAGAGCCATCCTCAATTCAAGAGATGAGAGCTTCAATGGCACTGTCATAGTTGACCAAGCAACCCCAAGCTTATAGAGGATAGCAGCTGCTAGTCTCAACATACTCACTCTCCTATGCTCATGATGGCTACAAATAAGACAGTCTCAGTACAGACAAACATACCTTGTCTCTACGTGGGTTTCCAAATTCTGTTTGGTCTTCCTCAGTGTTGAGTCTGACAAAGTCATCTATGGTTGACCTGCCAATGCACATACCTGGCTGCCAAACACAAGAAAGCCTCATTGCCCCACCAACATATAGGATATATAGCATTTATTGGGGTCTCCCATGAGTTATGAGGCCATGCAGGGGAAGGATGTGAGAAGGAAGATTCCACCTGTGTGCCAACAAGGTATGTGCTGCTACCTTCCCCCTTTGCATATTCCTAATTACTCTGCCTCATCCACACAGTGAAAGGAGCCATTGATGCTGACATTTCCATCAAACTGATCATCCTCTGCTCCCCAGGCAATGCTAATGGAATACACACACCCCTCCCCTCTGCCTGTGCCTTCCTCAATTTGAGAGACAAGGGCTTCAGCAATGTTGTCATAGTTAACCAAGCCTACATTGATCTTTCAGGACCTAACACAGGTGTCTTCTCCCCTGCCAGATACTGCATGAACATATGCATCATGAACATCAGGCAAGAGCTTTCAGGTTGGCTGCTATATGGTATGTCTTTCCTTCTTCTTTCTCTTCTCCTTTATCCTCACAATGCACCCACAGACAGACTCAGAATCTGATTTGTCCAATGCCCATAGTTCAAATTCTCACCAATACAAAGAGCTATCAATGCCAATGTTTCCATCAAACTGACCATTCCCACTCCAACTTGCCACCATCCACTCACCACTCTCTTCAGTTCAGCCTCCATGCATGCCAAGCATTAGTGGGATCAATGCCAACCTTCTGAACATGTGTCCAAAAAGTATACAAATACCTTTCAAGACAAAATGGCATCCTTGTCTACTTTTGTGGGCACTTGTGGTACCTCCACATCACACTTGGCATGGAGGAGGGTAAAGAGGCCATTGTACAGCATTTAGACAAGGCATTGAGAGTGCTGTAAATGGGTGATGGGAAGAAATGGCCATTGAGAGATATAGGGTAGTAGAAATAATAATTTTCAATGATTTTATAAGTGCTCCATCTAAAAATAAATGAACAAAGAAATGATTGCTTAGATAGTCTGTGTTCATGCAAATACAAGCTAAGAACAACACATCAAGGCTTGTGCACATATGCTGTATCTATTTTAAATAGATGTTGGGTGTTAAGTCTGGGCTTAATGGGAATGACAGCTGCCACCCAAATATCAGCTGATCTTGGTAACTTCCCATGACACAACCCATTTCTTGATATGTCTATCAATGTCTGATTGATGCCCTCTGCCCTTGGTCCTTGCTCTTGACTCTCATCTAATCCTCATACTTAGCTGTTCCACACAAGTTTACACAATCATAACAATTGTGGCCAATATTTTTCAGCAAGCTTCAAGTGTATCAGTCCATAATAGCACCCTCAATGCTGTGGCCAGTCACCAACTGCTAAAGTTACATATTTCCAGGAGTTTAAATCTTTGGACTCACATCTGTACTTTATCAGATCATCAATCCACAGCCTCCAAAGCATCAGCCAGCCAAAATGGTTTTAAGGCCTTCTTCTAGTGCTCTCTTCACAGGACAGCAAGTCCACCTTGACAGGCTGAAACATTTTTTCAGTATTCAGAATGGAAATGATATTGCACCCTGGCACTCCTTTCTTATTTATGGTCTGGGTGGAATGGGAAAAACCCAAATTGCTTTGAAATTTGCTGAAGAGGTTTCTAGCCAGTAAGTAATGACTTATCTAGCTAAAATATAAATTATTCAAAAACATTTCACTACTTTCAGATATGCTTACATCTTTTGGGTCAATGCCACTAATGGAGATACTATCACTGCCAGCTTAAAAGGAATTGCCTCAATCTCAGAAGCCAAAAAGGCTGAAGTGGATGAAACTCCTGAATCAGTTCTCTACTGGATAGCTTGTCTGTCAAAGAAATGGCTTTTGATTTTTGATAATGCAGATGGAGAGCCTAGCATGGTTGAAGAATATCTGCCTTCAAATAATACTGGAGATATTCTTATTACTAGCAGGAACCCTAAAATGAGGTTGCTTACTACTAGCAAGAATTCCATTGAACTGGATGAAATGATTATAGAAGATGCCATTGCTCTGCTTTTGAAAAGATCTAACTTGGAAGAGGAAATAACTAAATCTATCCAAGAGGCTGCTGAAAGCATAGTCAAAGCATTATTCTGCCTTCCTCTTGCTGTTGATCAGGCAGGGGCTTTCATGACATCTGGTCTCTGCAGCATACATAACTATCTTGAGCTTTATTCAGAACAAAGAAAAGAACTGATGGATCATCCATCTTTCAGAGGTGCTTCTAAATATGAACAGACAGTTTATGGAACATAGGAGCTTTCATATAAAAAGATTGAATCCAAGTGTTAAGTGCTGTGCCAGAAAAGGCCTGACTTAGGTGTGGAGTTGTTGGGTGTTGAGTGCAGAGTTGGATTGCCTTGAGGTGGACTAGGGACTTCAGCTTCAGCTTATGTGCTACACCCCTTTCCACTAGCTGTCCCTGGATTTCAGAGGATGAAAGTGAGATAGAGACAGAACTCAAGGTGGAGTTCTGAACAACAGAGAGAACTCCTTGCAGGAGTTCTACAAGAGAGTGTGGAGATGGTGCAGACTCAAGGTGAGTTTGCAGTGAAGACTAAGTTGATATTTGAACTGAAGTTACAAGTGAAATAATCTAAGTTTAAATACTAGAAAGTTTGGAGATGAGTAGTACAGAGTAGAAACAAGTAACACAGAGTACTAGGTACAAGATATGAAATGTGTATGAGGATAGAACAGAGTTGCAAAATAAAACTAAAAGGAAATAGATATAAATTGAGAGATAAATAATATAGATAAAAGATAATCAAGATCTAAATAGAATTCTGTGAGGGATGAGTGGAGAACAGGATCAGGAGTGTGGAGTCATATGTAGGATATGTGGAGTGGGTGGATAACATGCAAAGTTGTGGTTGCCAAGGCATGGATATAACAGTATTCCCCTCTTAGGGCTGAACCCCAAGGCCCATCAGGATCAGTGATTGTATTTTTTTGCACATGGCTGAGAGTTGATATATATGGTGGGGGATGGATGGTGGGCATTTAAGCAGAATTTTCTCATTGTATGCTAAACTCTATTACCACCATGTCTAACTCCCAACAGGCTTCTGGTTTGGTCCCTGGGGGAGGTAAGTTTGCACATGCTCTCTGCAAGCTTCAAAAGGAAAACCACATGGAAGATTGTGGAGATCTTGGAGCAGAAGAAGGCAGTGGATGAGGCAAAGCATAGGGAGGAGGAAAGGTTGGCATGGGAAGAGGCAGAGCATAGGAAAGCCAAGGCCATGAGGTTGGAGGAAGAGCACTGTAAGGGGGAGGCTGCAGATACTGCAAAGGGTGCAGAGATGAATGTGGATGAGGAGGAGGATGAGGATGAGCTTGCAGGAGTCATGCAATGCTGTGAGGAGAGGGCTCAGAGTGGGGCAGGTGCCACAAAAACCAAGAAGCAGAAGCAGAAGGATGGCAACTCTGAGTGCAAATGACTGGAGAGAGTGAGTTTTATTTGATTTCTCTGCTTTACTTTGTCTGATGATTGAATTTAGAAGATTGCAGCAGCAGTGGAGGACAATCCTGAGAGGCTGGTGGGTGATGAGCATAGGTGAGTGTGTCCTCATGCAGAGTTTCCATTTGCTAATGCAGAGTTCTTAGTATTCCTGCTTTGCCAATGGCTTCAACTATGGGAAGGGGACTCAGTGGAGAAAAGACAAAGTCAACCCATGCCCCAAGTGTGCATGCAATGGTGTCGTTTGTTGGTGAAGGGTTATCACCATACAGGAACATAACTCATGCCTGTGGTGTGCTGACAAGAAGAGGGTTTGTTTCAAAGAGAAATACCATACCAACATCCCAAATGGGCAACAATGCATGCAGGTGGAGTCAGACAGCAAGGAGGATGAGGCAGGCCCAATGAAGAGGGCAAGGAGGGATGGTTCGGATGCCAAGGCCCAGTTGTGAGAGATGGCAAGGTCAGCATTGGCCTTGTTGCAAGAGACCTTGGCCAACATGCAGGAAGTGACAGAATTCATGCAGACAATGGCTGAGTCCTTCAGAGATGTAGCAAGGGAGATGTGCAGGGTGGTATGTGAGGTGTGAAGTGTGGTGATTCAAGATCACTTGGATGCACAA